ATCCAATAGATTTCGTTCCACTTCACAATTGTGTCCCACTTGTTGGTGATTCTTCACATAAAATAAAAAATTTATATCTTTATGTTTGAAGCCTGAAATATGGCAAAAGGTTGAAAAGTTCAAGGGGGCCGAATACTTTCGCAAGGCACTGTATTGTTGGCAATGCCACTTGTTAAAAGAGGACAGAGGAGTAGGAGGCCAGACCTGTAGTCAAGGGCTGGCGGAGTAGGGAATGTGATCAAAGAATTTCTGAAGTTTTCTAAGATAGAAAAAGAATTAGGTGGCATGACAATATGTGGTCAACACTGTCAAACAGAGTCCTTGGAAAGGATTGCCCCAGCAACAGGAAATGGTTATCAGTGATTTGGCATGAAGATAGAAAAAAAGTAAGAACCCAAGTGCTTAGGGTGCAGAAAGAGGAGAGTATTGGTAAGGATTCCAAACCAGATGACAGTACACAATCTATAGTCAATATTTCAAGTCAAAGTGAGGGACATTTGGAAAGCAACACAGAGCTCAGAAGTTCATCAGAAGATACAGAAGATGCATGGGCAGCACACGGCAGCACAGACAGTGGTGACATGTTTGAAGGAGAAAAAATCTGTGTAGAATCAGAAAAAAGCCTGAAGAGCACAGTGAATATTCCCAGGGGGCAAGCTTGTCTGGGACGTCACCTCAAGATAAAAGGGGATTAAGAAAGATTATGTCTGTACCTAAAACTTTCCAACTATGTCTAAAGGCTAAACAATGGAGAAAAATAGCACCTCTAAAAGGTACATCTAAACTAAGACGACCATGGACCCAGATCTTATATAGTGAGTTCAGGAAGTTAACTCCTTGCTGCCCAATAGCCTTCAAATGCCAATACATCAGGAAAGAGAACAGAAAAAAAACTTTCTGGTGATAGAAGCAGTCTGTATCTTCAGTGCCTGTAATGCAAAATACATAATGACAACAAGACACAACCCACTGGGCAATAATGACATTACAAGTGATGTTGTACGAGTAGGGCAAATACAGCGCAGTGAAAGGGAAACAAAATTTCGACAAGCACGTCAGCCTTATCGTCGAAAGATTGCCCATGCCCTCACAAAAGGAATCTGCAATGTGTACTACAGGCAGATGAGCAGAACTCCGTTTGCCGAAATTGCAGCAGGCAATTTACCTAAACCACTGACACAGGATGTCCAGAAAGTCATCTCATCAGAGTTCAGGAGCAGTAAATGCCTTCAGTAAACGCCTTGCTTTGATACGGTGATTGAATTACATATGACACAACCATTAATGAAAGAATGCGATTTCGACACTGTCCATTTTCCAGGATATGTACAGATTTAGCAGTTAGACACATTTGTTGCCTATCTTTACACAGAACAGAGAAAGTGAATTCTCTCTCTCTCTCTCTCTCTGGCGCTCTGTTGCTCACTCTCTCTGGCTCTCAATTCAACTCAATTCAAGGTGCTTTATTAGCATGACCGATGGGTCCAATCATTGTTGCCAAAGCAAATAAAATAATGAAATTCACATGAAACAAAACAAAAAATAAAAGTAATATAAAATCTACAGACATATTATAGACATTTACAACAAAGACATATTATAAAATACTTACATATAATGTAGACAGAAGGAGCATTATTTGGAGACAGGCTCAATGTTCCTCAGGCTGTGACAGGAGATCACATAATGGGCTGCCAGTTCCACTGAGTTCCCTCCTCCCTCTCCCAGTAGGATTGGGACCCATTGTGATTCTGGCAGGTGTGGGAACTCTGGGATTAGATTTCTGAATTTAGGGAAGAATGTTTCTCTAATCCCAGAGTATCTGTCACAGTGCAGTAGGAAGTGCACCTCTGTCTCTATTTTTCCCTGC